AATAGGTCCTAAAGCTATTGTGTCTGTCTATCAGTCTATCTATCTATCTTAATAGCTGTGCATGAAATGCCTCCAGCCACATCAAATGTTTCTACAAACTGTGCTACTTCTTCTCCTGGCAGATTGCCACTGTTGAAATCTCTCCATGCTGTACCTATAAGTACCATATCTTGTTGATGTGCAATTATGAATTTAGTATATGAACACAGACAAATCACTTGCCACCTATAGTTCCTAGGCCAGTAAGGCGTGCTGTAATACAAACAAAAATCAGATGACTTTCAAACCACAAACAATACCAACATTAACTGTAGGCCTTCACCTTGATGTATTTTTCTACCTTTTAATACTACTTCTAGACCATATTAGTAGCTCAATCTAACCTGTATTTGAGGACTATTTCTTTCCTTCCTTCCTTCCTTCCTTCCTTCCTTCCTTCCTTCCTTCCTTCCTTCCTTCCTTCCTTCCTTCCTCCCTCCCTCCCTCCCTCCCTCCCTTCCTTCCTCCCTCCCTTCCTTCCCTCACCCCTCCCCTCCCCTCCCTTCCCCTCCTCTTCCTTTTTCCTTCCTTCCTTCTTTGACAGATTCTCACTCTGTCACTTAGTCTGGAGTACAGTAAAATGATCTAGTTCCAGTGAATATTCCACCTCCCAGGTTCAAGCCCTTCTTGTACCTCAACCTCCCAGGTAGCTGGAATTACAAGTATGCATCAACATACCCAACTAATTTTTGTATTTTGAGTAGAGACGGGGTTTCACCAGGTTAGCCAGGCTGGTTTTGAACTACTGACCTCAAGTGATCTGCCTGCTCAGCCTCCCACAGTGCTGGATTATAGGGTGAGCCACAGCACCCAGCCTTAGCACTATTTTCTTAAGCCTCTACAAGAAACTACACACACATTTCTCAAGTTTTTAAAGCAAATACCTGTTGTCAGCAGTTCTACTTGGAGTAACAGCCAGATTCCCAGGGAAATCTCTGTTACTGGGGCAGAGTAAATGACTTGAATTAGCCTAAACATAGCTACTATGTCCTCTATCATCCACCAAGAGCTCCAATTTAAGAATGTCTGTGCCTGTGGAGGTGAAATATGTTTCTAGCTTTCAATTTCATAAGAAACCATATTAGGTCTCTGAATAGTCTTCAGTGATTCTCTCTGCAATAGTATTCTGAGAAGCATAAAACTTTTGTAGGGTAAATCTTTACCCTTTGCACTATAAGTCTGGTGAGGTTGTAACCAGTTTAAAAATATGTTTTTGAGGTATTGATTTTTATCTGAAGTACAGCTGAGTACTGAAACTTAAAGGCTGGCTCCCAAAATGTAATCCACATATAGTTAATTAGTCAAGGATACTCACAGTTCTATGTTGGCTCAACTCAAACAGGCAAAGATATTTAGAAAGTAATTTAAACAATATTTAGAAAGTAATTTAAACATTTCATAATCCTCTCAAAATATTATAAAGAGGGATCATATTCACAATGTATTGCTAAGTTCCTGAAATCTGTTTCTTCATCTCTTTTAAAGCAGCTGTTCTCAAAATATTTCTCTTTCACTCTAAACTCCCTAAAAAAATCTTCCTTCAGACAATCCTTTGGGCTCTGTACTTGTTCAGTTCTCCTCTGCTTGCCAGGATTCATTGCTTTCTCCTAATATACCCAGGTTCGAAGCAATAATGGGCAGGGCCTAAACCTATTAATATTCCCACATTAACTGTTTTTACATTAAAAGGTAATTTTTGCATCCAATCTACAGGTGACAACATAAACAGAGATTAACATGAGGTTGGACAGTCCTCATAACTAATTGATTAATGTTAATCTTACCTGTTTTTATGTAGATAAGATGCCAGTAAATGTTTGAGAAGCTTATATGTAACAAGCATGAATACAGATTATCTCATTGATTTTAATATATTTGGAAATGCATAAATTGATATTTGCCTAATTGTGTCACAAATTCCAGAAAAGTAACATTTCTTTTCCTGATAAAAGACACAAAATAAACTAGACTGAATGTGCTGGCTTTTGATTGGCCCGAATTAAAGTTAAGCATAGCTGTGTCACTCTTAGATTCCTGGAAGCAAGATCAGCATCTGACTCAAGCAAGTAAATTAAGTGAACACATCCATGGATATTATTTACACCTTTCACACTGGGAGGCAAGAGGTAAACAAGTGGTCTCTTACAGGTACCAATCATTTCATAGAAAAGCTGTGTCAATGAAATAAAAAAGTAAATTATGATAGTAACATAATTCAGTTGAATATGCCTGTGTGTATGCATGTGTTTTTATAAAAGGTTAAGCAGTTACTAATCCTTCAGTGAATCCTAGGTTCTACATGAAAAGTGCTTGTTCTCCTGGAGGTTTATGTTCCTTGGGCCAATTCATATTTCCATAATTCAGGTTGCCCATATCTTGCATTAGGGGATACAGATAAAAGGGAATTTTTCTGTCTCAAAAAGTTATAGTGGAATCATTCAGAATTTATCACATTTATATATTTTACAGGACTGATATATATAGTAGCTAATATATCAATGTTGTAATAACATAAGCGATCAGTAGGTAATGCATTCTACTTTAAAACTTCACATTTGAGGCTTTTAAGTAAAATACTGTGAATCAACACCTTACTTTATTATTACTCTAAGTCTGTAATTGTGCATACCATAGTTACTTAAAAAGATAGATCTTTCATCAGGTACACTTCAGCTTAATTTCTTCTCTCAAAACTCATCTAGAAAAGCAATCACATAGCATATTCTGAAGAAAACTTGTTGAGGATAGCACTTTAATTAAAAGTTTTTTCCTTAGGAAGAAGCCTAACATTGAAGTTCTAACCAACAATTGTGATTATAGATTCTAAGACCCAGTTTTGTAAGGAGATTACCTTAGGAGTCTGGCTATGCAGGGATATAATTGCATTACATCTTCCTAATTCTTCACAGAAGAGTCAAACAAATACAGTTTTATACCTTGTACTTAAGTATGAGATGTTACCAAAAGCAAACCACTAAGAAAGAACTTCTGTGTGTGAAGTGTATATTGATGGATGGTCAATAGATGGTACATGGAAATGTCATTTTTTATGAAAGGGATTAACACCATTTACTACAGCAGCAAACCTTTGAATGAAACTATTGTATAAATTTTATATAAATCATACAAAATGGTTGGTCAGATAAGACAGATAATCTAATATCAAAACTTGTTAAATGTTATGTCGTGTTATAACAGTGTTCTCTAATTAGATCTCCTCATGAAACAAGCTCTGTGTAAAGGGGATATAATTTAAGATAAATATGGTAAAATAAGGGCTTAAAAATCCTATTATTGATAGAGGCAGAAAGCAGATAATCCTAGTTAGAGAGGGGTAGGTCTCCAGTGAAACCCCCCCTTCAAGCCAAAGACAGTTTGAAGCCTGAAAGCCAAGCTACAAGTCACATCGCAGACAAGATTGAGAACCTGCCTTCCCGTTTAGTATACTTTCTTCTGATTGATCCTCACTCTTCCCGTTTTACATATATCTACCTTTCCCTAATTGGTGTTTAAAGCTGTCTTGCCCACCTTTGAGTGGTGCCTTTGTTTTAGCCTTTTTTGCATACTCACAAACCAATCAGTACACACTATCCTATTCTGAGCCACAGAAGCCCTGGATTCAGCCACACTGAGAAAGAATTTACCTGACTTCAGGTGGGGGACCACCCCCACATCCCTTCTCTGCTGAAAGCTGTCCTGTCACTCAATAAAATTATTCTCCACCCTTCTCACCCTTCAATTGTCAGCCTATCCTCATTATTCTTGAATGTGGGACAATAACTTGGGAACCCTGGGACTTGGGTACAAGCTATAACACAGGTGGGCTGGGGTACACCCAGACCAGCCGTGGCCTGAGCCAGCGAATGAGCCAGGCACAGCCAGACAGGCAGAGTGGGCGAGTAGTCTCCTGAGGCATGTAGCATGGCCCAGATGGCATTGTAGCCAGCCATAGGTCCCTGGCTGATTAAAATGACTGAGAAAAATCCTGTGTCACTATGGAGCACATTGGATTTGCCATATTTATTTGTGCAAATTGGCAGACTAAAGATAACTATGGCCCACAGGCTAATCCAGTCCATAGCCTGTTTTGTATGCTGCTTGAGATAACAATGGTTTTGCATTTTTAAAGAGTGTAAAAAACAAAGAAGAATATTGACTGGAGACATATGTGGCCCACAAATATTGAAATATTTATTATCTAGTCCGGTACAAAAAAAATGCTGACACCTAATTTAAGATTTTTTTTTTCCTTTTGAGAAAGGTCCTATTTGAGTGGATTCATCATAGTTAATATGGGGCAGAATTATATAAGTCCTGTTTGAATCTCCTCTATATTCTCAGGTTTATAGGATCATTAAAGGCCTGACACCTCTTTAGCTAAGTCAGGTAAGACCACCTGGAACTCCAGGCTTCAAGCCAGGTCCCTTTAAGCAGAATAGCCTGGAGCTGGGCTGAAACTGGCAGCCTAATACTCAGCCCATTACATGATCCACTGGGCTCTGCCACCATAAACACACAGGTAAAGGCCAAGCACATTTTCTGCCGCTGTTACTGCTAAATGGAAAAATACACTTTCCGTATACCAATCAAGACTTTGGAAAGGTCACAAAGTTAGAAGTGGCATTTTTTTTTCCTTGAGCATCAGACAGAATATATAGACTGTGCTATCCTCACAGTCAATGTCAAAAGGTTATCTGTTATGCATGTTTTTCTTTCCCTCTTTTTCTCCTTCAAGCCATTCTATCATTCAGCTGCTTTCATTTTTATTATAAAAATAAGGTCCAATTAAGTTTAGTAAAATGCAAAAGAAAAAAACAAACCATTGAGCCCAAATAAATAACTTTCAGGCCTGATATTATTTCACTGAAAGTCTATGAATGGCTCTTTGTACATGTTTGGAACAATTTATGCCTTTTATACACAGCTATGCTAGAGAAGAAATGTTTTTCTCATCTCAGCTCTTTTAAGCACACCACATGATGCTCTTCCATGGGAAATAAAGTTGATCACATTATTTCTAACTTCAATGATCCCTCAGCAACATCAAGAATCTTAAAAAGGTAATATGAATTTTCAACCAATATTGATAGATGTTGTGTTATTATTTATGAGATTCAACACTGAAAATAATTTCTGGGGCCAAATGATGTAACAGGTAAAAATGTATGCAAGTAATAATATTTTTTTAAGCTTTATATTAGTGTTTTCAAAGCTTTGTTGGGATAGTAAAATATTTAATATAGAACATGAAGCTAAAACCAATGCTTAAAAATTGCATGTCAATTCTGCAATGAAAAATAGCATGGAAGCTAAACTGGAAAAAAAAAATTTATGGATTTAATTGTATTCCCCCAAAATTTCTGTGTTGAAGCCCTAACCTCAGTACCTTAGTATGTAACTGAGGTATTACTAATTTTACTCTCTGAGTATCCTTAGAGATAAGGTCTTTAAAGTGGTAACTAAGTCTAAATGAGACCCTTAACATGGGCCTTAATACAATTTGACTGGTGTCCTTATAAGAAAAGGAATTCTGAACATAAAAGGAGACATCAAGGGTATGCGAACAGAGAAAAAAACATGTGAAGACACAGCAAGCAGGCAGCCGAGCACAAGCCAAAGAGAGAGGTGTCAGGTGAAATCAACCCTGCCAGCACCTTGATCTTGGACTTCCAGCCTCCAGAACTGTGAGGAAATAAACTTCTGTTGTTTAAGCCACCCAGTCTGTGCTATTCTGTAATGACAGTCCTAGCAAACTATATGAGGAATATATTAATAATACAGTATTGCCATTATTACATTTTACTGGTGAGATTACATCTGACTTTTACACCTTTACACTTACTCTAATGCATTACTTTCCCTTACCTTTTTACTCCCTCCCTCCCTTCTTTCTTGTTTTTCTTCCAACAAATATGTTTTGAGTGCCTTCTGTGTGGCCAGCTTTTTGAATACCTAAGCACTAGGTATTCAGTGGAATGCATAAATTCGATTCATACCCTTACAAAATTTAAGATACTGAATTTTAACTATACATTCTTTGGACAAAAACAAAGATTAATAGACAACCCTTCTTAACATTTCTCATAACACAGACAGAAGTAAATGCATACCCACCTCTGGATTAGGACTTATACAAAAACCTGTTGCAAATTACTCCTACTAAAACAAAGAACAGTCAATGGCTTTCACTTTCATAAAAGCTATTTGTGTCAAAGACATCTCTAACCAAAGCAAATAGTCTCAGGTTGCTTTGTGACACATCCTTCAGCTTCCATAACCTAACAATAATTAAAGAGAAGCTACTGATCTCTAGTAGATAGTAGCCATGCACTATTTCTAGAGATGGATGCCCATTTTCTTAGAGATCAGCCTCCACCCTACCCCATCCTCTCATCTTATTTTTACTGTAAGTTGCATCTCCCATCCATCTAAAACATTTCCACTAGCTTCAACATATTGCCCCAAAGTTTCAGTAAAGAAAAGGCAAAGTGATCAATTAAAAATAAATTGTTTTTGGGAGGCCAAGGTGGGTGGATCACGAGGTCAAGAGATGGAGACCATCCTGGTCAACATGGTGAAACCCCGTCTCTACTAAAAAAATATACAAAAAATTAGCTGGGCATGGTGGTGTGTGCCTGTAATCCCAGCTACTCAGGAGGCTGAGGCAGGAGAATTGCCTGAACCCAGGAGGCGGAGGTTGTGGTGAGCCGAGATCGCGCCATTGCACTCCAGCCTGGGTAACAAGAGTGAAACTCCGTCCCAAAAAATAAATAAATAAATAAATAAATAAATAAATAAATAAATAAATAAATAAAATTGTTTATGCCAAGCATAGTAGCTCAAACCTGTAATTCCAGCACTTCGGGAGCTTGAGGCTTGATTGTTTGATTGAAGAGGATTGATTGAGCCTGGACAACAGAGTTCGAGATCAGCCTGGACAACAGAGTGAGACCTCTTCTCTACTAAAAATAAAAACTATATAGCTGGGCATGGTTGTGTACCTGTCGTCCCAGCTACTCAGGAGGCTGAGGAGGGAGGATTACTTGAGCCTGGGAGATCCAGGCTGCAGTGAACTGTAATCATGCCACTGTACTCCAGCCTGGGTGACAGAAAGCAATACTGTCTTAAATAAATGAATAAGAAATAATTTGTTTAATAAAACTCAATGCCATACACTTCATGGTTTTTGGCAGATTTTGCCTAGAGAAACATTTAAAAAACGAGAGCATTTATCTATGCTCCAAATAGCACAAAAGGCCATTGGTGGTAATGGGAGCAACAGTATACAAGGTCACGTTAAATGAATGATTCAAATTCCGGAGCTCATCACATGAACAGCTTCTCCAATATTTGCTATGGTGAGCAGAGTACTGAGAGATCCAGATCACCACTGTCCAGTGACACTAAGTTAAAACACTAAATACTGAGTATGCTCACAGGAATGATATGGGAAGGAACCCTCACACAAAGGCTAAATGTAGGCAAGATTGGAAAATATGTGACTTTTATTTATTGTTAGTCACTGGTGTTCCAGTAAATGTTTCACAACCAACGTTATGGAAAAAATATATAGGCATTAAAATTATAAATATTGCTGATATAAATGATATATGTAATATATATAAATATTACTGATATAAATGATATATGTAAATGACATATAAATAGTAATCCTATATACAGTACGCTTTATTGTAAATTCACTATAGTCAGCTGATTCCCACAAAATACTTCAGTTGATTTTGCTAAACTCATATTAGTAGCCAACTTAATTATGTAACTGATGAAGGAGCATGGGTTCAAATTAAACGTTGGCTGATAATTTTATTTAACCAAAATGTAATAATGAATATATTTTAGATTTCACCTGTTCATCAATGACCTGAGAGATTTCTTTGCTGAGTTGGATAGCAGTTCCTTAATGTTGGAAGAATATTTTCTCAATTTTTTTTTTTTTAATGGAGACTCACTCTTGTTACCCAGGCTGGAGGGCAATGGTGCAATTTCGGCTCACTGCAACCTCCCCCTCCGGTTCAGTTGATTTCTCCTGCTTCAGCCTCCTGAGCAGCTGGGTTGAGGTACACACCACAATGTACAGCTAATTTTTGTATTTTTAGCAGAGATGGGGTTTCACCATGCTGTGCATGGCTGGTCTCAAACTCCTGACCTCTGGCGTGGCCCCCAAAGGTGCTGGGATTAAAGGCATGAGCCACTGCATCCAGCCAATGTGATACCATTTTAAGTTCAATCTCCATTTTTAACATTTTTAAAAATCCACTAACTTCTTAAGTCAACAATGGACAATCAACAAAACAATAAATGAAACCCAGACTTATTATTTGCTAATTTTTGTGGTATAAATATTCCTAGTATGGCCAAATTCAAGTTACCAACATAATTGGCATGAGATACATAGAAAAACACTAGTATGTAGTATTTCCACATATTACTTTCTACTTTTAAGAGAGTAATGTGGGAAGTGCTCTCCAAAGAAAACATGGAGCATGATCTCTAAAGAAAATAAGAATCCATCCTTAGACATAGTGTATGTTTGCTATTTACTAATTATCAGTAACTTTGTTTTATTGCTAACATATTTTCATGTTAGTCATTCATACTAATATGCAATTACAACAGTCTTAAATAACAAAGACAATAATTAAATGAAATAAAATAATTAGAAAGTATTGAGTTTTGACTATTTGTTTTTACATAATTTATTTAATTGTTTGCTTATATTATTTCTTTTTAAACCGTGATGGTATTTAGAAATCAGCTTTCACAATTTATAAAAATTTTACAATCGAATGTCATGAGTGGTTGGAAAATGAGCTCTAACATTCCACTGCTTCTGTCAGCTAACGTTTTTACTTTCAAAGCCCGCTTTTTTTCTCTAATGATGATTTTTTTTCTAGTTGCCCACACAGCTCTGCCTTTCCCTAGAGCAATTCCCCTAACATGTCTTCTACCTAAATATTCCTGTTTGCTTTTATCAGTCTTTCCACAATCTAATCTTAATAGCTGACATTAGAAAGAATATGTTAAAATAATTCACACTAAAATGATATATTCAAAAAATAGCTAATGTATGTCCTGTTCAATAACAGTACAGAAATAAAATGCCAAATAAATGAATATCTAATAGTTAAATTGCTATCTCTATACCAGGGATATTTTGGGACAGATCATTCAAATTCTATCATGTAGCTGATATGAAGATATTGGTAGTTAGTATGTTCTTGGCTAATTAACAATTTGCAGCTCTTTCTTAACTTTGAAACTGACAATTCAAAAAAGTAATGAACCTCTTCTTTGATACAGTCTATCAAGAAACCCTATTTCCATTATTCTTTGCTCACTGTGATGTAGCCATTGTAAGCATCTTGAATAAGTTGCTTTTTTTTAGCTGCCACATGTTCGCTCAAATTGCTTTTTCTATCTACAGCTCCCTTGCCACTCTCTGACCTCTTTCCCTGAGCTTAGCTTTTGATCTTCCTATGTCAGGGCAGCCAGTACTTTCCCTGAGAACCTCTCCTGCCCTTTCTAAATTGGCAGGCCCCTCATCGGCCCCTCATTGCATCCTGCGCATAACTTCATGGTTACGCTTACTTAATTGTAAATGCCTAGTCATTTCTACACCATTTGGCTGGGAATTCCACAAAGTCAGAGAGCAAGTTTGCCTTTTTCATCAGCATTTTCTGACATCCAGAATCACGACAGGTACGTTGTTGGCACTTGGCAAAAGCTGGTTGAATGCAAAGCCGATGATTTGGAGAACGAAAAACCAGAGCACTGAGATCAGGAACACACTGCCTATTTATTTCACTCTCAGGTTATAATTGTATTATTTTCAAGTTCTTTTAAAGAAGATACATTGTACTGGATTGAATCTGATTGGATGTGCAACTAACTGGTTAGCAGTATGCTGTAACATTAGCACCAGCTTACTGGAACACCACCTCCTATATTCCTGAAAGTCCCCTTGGGGGATGCAGAAAGTTGTTTAAAAGCCACACCTAATTATACAAGTCAGCAAAGAAGAATCTCTAGCCGCTAGAATGCAATTGCACATTTGCCTGTTTTATTCCCCATCAGCTTGAGAAATTCACACACTCCATATAAAATGACAGAAATGTTTTAACTATGGTTTGCTAGGAATGGAGTGGCTACATCTCCTCTGTAGTAAGTATGAGCCAAATGTGAAAGTAAATGAAACTTTGACAAAACTTCCTGACTTTCCAACATGATATACTTATTTTGCAGATAAAGAAAAGTTATGACACATTGCATCATCTGTCAGACAAGCTGCTTGAGTCCCAATTCCAGTAATCATCACGGGAAAAGAGAAAAATGATGCTTTTGATCCAAGCAAGTCAAGAAAGGTTGTGTCCTCCTCCTCACACTTTTTTTGGAAAGCAATCCCATTCAAATTTGAAAGTGAAGCCACTTTCTCCCTCCCTAACAGTATTGAAACCTAAGGAACAAGAGCACATCCTTATAAGCTATTACTCTGCAGCTAGTACAAAAGGAGAGGGATTTGCATTAGAACAAGTGTTAAGAGTTGAGCTTCAGGCAAGGTAAGATCATTATTTATAACAAGCTGATCTGCTTCTATATGATTAACAGAAAAACAGTGAATTAATGTTGTTACCTTAATATTGTTTAAATGGCCTCTAGATGTGTGAAGCCATGCCAGGCAGAGTGGTTAACACAAAATTAATGTGAATCCAAGAGAGAGTTCTGGGAAACATTTTCACCTGGAGTATGCTTAATTAATGACCTTGAAACCATAAGCTCTCATAAGCCTCTGCAGTATGGTCTTATTTGGGGAGACAGGACACAGCCTGATTTAATGGGATATTCTTCAGAGACTGGTAAAACTGGTAAGCTTTTGGATAATTATCAGCCATTTTAATGATTCCTTATTTTCAAAATGTGGTTCATACCCTAGGTTACCCAGGGAAATGGATGAGGAAAGTATGGAACTACAGTGGGTAGCGTTTTATTGCCTGTAACTGTGTTATTGTATAGAAAGCTGGACTTTTCAGACACAAACAGCAAACCTTCTAATATCCCCCAAATAAAGCTTCATTAAATGACTGCTTCAGAATTAGTCATCCAGGATGTGGGCTACTGGTGTAATGGATAAAGAGGTATGACTATGGATCAGAAAATTCCAAAATTTTTCTTTCATAATAGGAAAACTCAGTGTTCAAGTAGGCTTAGTTGCGAACATTATACTAATTGTCCTGAGACTTGAAGTATCTTCATCAAGTGGGCTAAGTAAGAGCATATACTTCAGGGATCCTATTTCTGCCTTTAGGCTTCAGGTTTGAGGAATCCTTATTAGAGATACGGCTAGATGCTTTTCTTTCTATATTTTCAAGATTAAAATACATAGGGTAAAGTTGTGGGCACAAGACAAACTGAAGGCAGAGAGGTGTGCAGAGTAAATATTTATAACACTTGATATTTAAACTCAGAAGAATTATATTGAAAAGCAGTGGGGATGTTTGTAATAATATCAGAGATGCCTGGACTAGTTTGTAGGAACACACCCAAAGTTACCAGAGGCTTCATGATAAATATGAGATATGTAAAAGAGCGTTCGATTGGAGAGTACCATAGGTTCAACCCCGTAAACACTCCTTTGCCTTTGCATTACTGTTTTTCTAAGGCAATAATGAGAAGGTGGTAAAGTATCTTCACTTTATATTAGTTTTTGTTTTTTTTTTGGGGGGGTGGGGGAGTCTGCTGCCTAACTGTCCTTGTCCTCCTCCCTTTTTGTGACAATTGCCTGCTCAATTTTTTGACTTTTTTGTTTCTGCCTACCTGCTAATTCTCCTTTCTCTCCGGTAAGTACTTCCTTGAATGTAGGTGCAGAATATAGCTCTTTTGGCTCCTGTAGTCATTGACACTACAGCAGCCGGTATTCTCAGGACCTCTAGAAAGTGACCATGACGTGACCCAAAAGCTGTCGACTGTTTATTAAAAACATCCATATAAGAATCTTGCACTGCCTCCTAATGAGCCTGTATTTTCACACCACCACATGAACCTTCACATTTTTATTACTTGTTTATTAAATTTTAATAATTAATCTATATGGATTTGAGATACAGATTTTGATAATTCTGGACTCCACTGTGGTAGCCCTACAGCAGAGTATACCTGTACTTTTATTGAACACCTATCAGTACTAAGAAATCAACTTGGCCACTGTACATTGGAGTCAATTCTGCTTTCCATTTTGGCTAACCTTTGCAAACATGTCCCAGAACCAGTGAGGAGGAAGAATTCTATGATTTTGTTGCAGGGTTTTATTAAGTATTTTCTGAGTAATATAATAGTTTTGAAGAAAGCATTAAGATTAAAAGAATACTATGGTCAAATTTCTTTTGAAAATGTGTACTTTTTTTTTAACTACAAAAAGCAGATTGAGACAAAATTTTCATAATCCTGAATGGGTTAGTAGACACTGCGAAGCATAAATAAAGGAGGTAGATGCTTCATAAAACAAAAGTCAATCTCCTTGATTATAGAATCTTTTTACACAAAATTTTGTCAGGCCAGTGCTTCACAGAAAACACTCTGAAAAATTCCATTTCATTGCAAGTTTTCTGGTTAAATGAACATAACCTCAGTCTAATGCAGAGGGGGAAATGTAGTGTGTATATTCAACACCTTCTAATATGCCATATATTTTGTTAATATATCAATGCGACGAATTGAGTAGTGTTTCCCAAGAAGATATGCTGAATTCCTAACGCTGGCACCTGTGAATGTGACTTTATTTGAAAATATAGTTTTTACATAAGTAATCAAGTTAAGAATGAGGTCATTACGGTGAACCCTAGTACCAATGACTGATAGAAGAAGCAGATTGAGACACAAAGGCAGTCACGTACAAAGAAAACACAATGTGAAGACACCCAGGTAGAATGCCATGTGTAGACCAATGCAGAAATTGGAGTGATGCATCTACAAATGAAGGAATGCCAAAGATTGCCTGCCTTCACCAAAAGCTGAATAAAAGGCATAGAATAGATTGACTCTGAGAGCTCTCAGAAAGAATCTGCAGCAACTGGCCGGGCGAGGTGGCTCAAGCCTATAATCCCAGCACTTTGGGAGGCCGAGGTGGGTGGATCACAAGGTCAAGAGATCGAGACCATCCTGGTCAACATGGTGAAACCCGTCTCTACTAAAAATATAAAAAATTAGCTGGGCATGGTGGCGTGTGCCTATAATCCCAGCTACTCAGGAGGCTGAGGCAGGAGAATTGCCTGAACCCAGGAGGCGGAGGTTGTGTTGAGCCGAAATCGCACCATTGCACTCCAGCCTGGGTAATAAGAGCGAAACTCTGTCTCAAAAAAAAAAAAAAAAAAAAAAAAAGAATCTGCAGCAACTGACACTCTGATTTTAGACTTACAGCCTCCAAAACTGTGAGAGAATAAATTTCTCTTGTTTTAAGCCACCCAGCTTGTGATATTTTGTTATGGTCACCCTGGCAAACTAATAGAGATTTTTATGCTAGGATGTGGGGTCCTAGTATAGAAATAAAATGCTAGAACACCACACATCCTGGTATAAAAATGTGAAAGTGGCTTAGGAATTGGGTAATGGGTACGGGCTGGAAGAGATCTGAGTTATTTAATAGCAAGAGCCTAGAATGCTTGGAAAAGACTGTTGATAGAAATCTAGTGAGCAAAAATGAGGAACATTTTATTGGAAACTGAAGGAATGGCAATCTTTGTCACAAAGTTGCAGAGAACTTGGCTGAATTATTTCTACTTTGGAAAGTAAACCAGTTAGTGATAAACTTAAATATTTAGTTGAGGATATTTCTAAGTAAAGTGTGCAAAGTACAGCCTAATTTCTCTTTGCTGCTTATAGTAAATGAATGAGATAAGAAATAAAGGAGTAGTTCTTCCTCAAGACTGTAACATAGTCTAATACATGATATTTATCATTTATTGGATATGTCCTTCTCTCTACTAGAATGTAACCATCCAGGGCAGGAATCTTAGTCTGTTCTGTTCACTGATATTTCCCAAACACCCTCAGTAAGTGTTGAGAAATGAAGGGAAGTTATGCATTAGGTGGAAATTTTTACACTTAGCCCACCAGATTTTATGCTTAAATTTTCCAAATAATTTATAAAAGGTATATATTTAATATAGTTATTGACATAAAAAATATTTTTTTCCACATCCTCTCCAGCATCTGTTGTTTATTGGCTTTTTAATGATTGCCATTTTAACTGGCGTGAGATGCTATTTCAATGTGGTTTTGATTTACATTTCTCTAATGACCAGTTATGATGAATTTTTTTTTCATGTTTGTTGGATGGATTAAGTATCCTCTCTGGAGAAGTGTCTGTTCCTACCCCAGAACTTAAAGTATAATTTAAAAAAATAATTTTTAGTCTCTAAATTAAAACAATTTATGTAAGCCTATTATGTTTATAATAGATGAACTAATATAAAAGAAATTAAAATTAAACTAGTGATGGTACTTGAAAGAAAAACTCTCAATTTCCTTGAAGAGTAACAATTAAAAGTTTCAGAAAAAGAAAAGAACAGGGAGATACAAATTTGAGGCCACATATGAAATTGATTCTCAAGTAAGGTCTTAGCATTTATTCCTAGAATAAGATCTGGTAACAACTGGGTTGACTTTAATAGCATAAATCCTATAAACAGTAATAGCAAATGAAGATCCAATTTTCCATGGAATATATAAAGGCCATAAAAAATGATGACTGTCTTTATTCTTAAGTTAATCAAACTGCCACCCAAATCCCTGTTGTTTAAAAAAATGCTGTATAAAATGATATAGACTTTATATGAACAATTCAATACGTTACACAATGAAAACAATAACCATAGTGACTCCCCCACTGCCATTTTTCTCTTCAGTTATTTTCATATGTGACCGTACCTATTCTTTTAAGAATTGCTGACACTCTGCTATCAATTAGTTTTAAATTCTCTCTTCTTGTAATCTTTGCATATACCTGACTTTCTTGCAAGAAAGATCTTTAATTTACACTAATCATTCAATAGAAAGACATTGTATAGATTTACAAAGGCTAACAATTATTTAATTCATGAAAATATGTATATCTAGGAAATATTTATTTATATTCCTCAGGTTTATAAGCATAGTTCTTTTTAAAAATTGTTTTGCAAATACCAAATAACACCTTAATGCTTACTGCACATAAAAGATTTCAAAAATCCACCTGTGGCTGCTAGTTTGGTACTAAGACTTTCAAATTAATCACTATATTTCTCTGGTGTACATTCACTCTTTACTGTTTTTGCTGCCTTATTCAGTATCACTTCTAAGTACTGTTTTGTTGAAGCTCTTCAATTGCCACTTTCTGATTTTTTTGCCTTCTATCTCCCACACTTCACTACCTACAAATCATCATTCAAAGAACAGTCCTCTCACCAGATCTCTGCTTGGGCAGTCAGACTTATTCTTCAAGTACTTGCATAAACATTAACACATCTGACATGTCTCCACCAACTCCTGCAGGTAGTGTTATTCAGTCCCTATCTTTATTTCATTTTATTTTAGCATTGGGTTATATCTCTACAAAATAGCTTACTGTATTTTGATTATATTTTGGTGTCTACATTCCAAGTGGAATGTGTGCTAGTAAAGGCAAGAACTGTGTATTTTTTTACACACCTATCTGTAGTGATTGAACAGAACCTTTCACACTTCAAATCTTCAATAAATACTTTTTAAACAAACACAAACAAAAGAAGTCTAGGGAGAAGAAAAATCAAGTCAATTGCTATGTGGGTGGTTGCTATGTAAGTCAAAGTGTGGGAAATAAAACAGACTAACTTATGTGAGCGTCTTTATTTCTATGGGTGCAATTTCAGGAGTCGAATTTAATAAGGTGAGGTATCATTTGGCTGGACTGCAGGATAGAATTGTGCATATTAGCCTTTAAAGTAATTTTCAGAGATTAATGTGGTTATTTTTTATTTCTATAAAATTTTCTCTTGATTTGTCATATCTCTCAATGTTTTCCTTGCTTAGCCAGTATTTTCTTAGTCTTTTCTCATAAGATTATGGTAAGAGAATATGCATTTTTCTCTTCAGATAATAGAAAATGAGTTATTCAGTAATAAGTGTTCAAAGCAAATCCTTCTACAGTACTGATAGATTCACAAGATAGGGGACATAGAAGGAATTCTAGGCTTTAAAAAATGTAATTAATACCAAGTTTACTTTTTGGCACTTTTTATTTTACTTTTCCAATGTAAAATTTTAAGCATTCAAAAAAGTAGAGAGTAGTATAAAACTTCCCATGTATGCAAGCAATTCACCTTAATAGTTATGAGCGTTTGCACCCATCCTAGTGATTTTATTCTAAGGCTTAAAACAAAAAAAAAAAAATAGGAAACTAAAAGTTATTTATTGGTAGTTTTATAGGACATCTAGGCTATTTTTTTGAGAAAGAAAGTGAAGACATGCTGTGGCCCCTATTGCAATGAAAATCAGAAAACTGATGCTTGCAAAATGTCCGAAGAAAAGTCCTGAGTGTTTGCTACGTGACTCAATATGCATGCACTCATGCTCATGCATTTATTTTGAAGTCTGAAGGGTAAGGAGAAAATTTTGTTTTCTTTCTTTGGTGTGTGTGCATGTATGTGTGTCCCACCAGTCATTTATTGTCATTCTCTCACTAATTGGTGGTGACAATGATTACAGCAAAAGGCAACTGAGAATCCTGGCTCCTTCTACAAATTACTATACAAGTTGGATATTCCTCTGCCTTGAGTTCATTAACTAATGAAAATTCTATTTATTTCGACTTTAAACAAATGTTTTATGTCTTTTATGCGCAAGACAAGGTCAATCTTTTTTTTAATTACTCAATTATTCACTTATTCCTTCATTCATTGAACATTTAGGGAAACATTGTTTCTCCTCCATTTCTCTAACTATAGATAAATATAAATAAGCAATACTTTGATCGAAATAAAAACTAAGTGCCATGAGAACATCTATAAAAATAAGTAGATGATTTATGTGACCACCTGTTTGTGGTCTGTCTCTCTAATAGTCTATCAATAAGAATTAAACTTTAGGAATAGCAGTGGAAGTGAAACATACCTGGTGCAACATTTGGTGTGCTGAGCTTCCCTGACCCTCCTGTCTTTACTCTCTGCTGCTGAATATATGAACCTAGATGGCCAGTGCCACACTTCTGCACCTCAGTGATAGGGTTAAAGTGGGTAACTGAATAAGAGAGTCCATCCAGAGACTGAGCCTTGCCAATTAGTTACCTTTTCATGTCACAGAATTTGAACTTACAGGTAAAGAGAAAAATACGGTATATATTGGTAGCAAGACAGAAGCAAACTTGTATAGTTCAAGTGAGTTGCATTAAAGCAAAAGTTTATAGGGAAGATTCAAGCATTTTATCTGCTATGGTCTCCCATGGTTGTCTTGAACAGAATAACTCACCTATTAAAGCCCTATTGATTTCTACTGAGTTAGTGCTTCCCATCTTGTTTGATTTCTCTATACAATTACTTAAAACCTTTATGCCACTCCCCACCTCAATCTGCTTTTCTTGAGCCTTTTTGGGGAATTTCTGCTTTTTATAATCATAGGGCCTGACCTTGAATAGGCATTATCTGCTGAACCCCTGTCCTATCTCTATTACTGTACTTAGCACTTCCATTCATTTTCATGTTTTACATAGTAATCTACGAACTCTTTAACAACCAAAGGGGCTAATACTTTGTATTTTATTCCCATATCCATCTTACACCTTGGGACATTACTGGGATTAATAAATGTTTGTTAAAATACTAAATGATCAGTGCATATTAGAGATATTGAAGAGGTAGGATCTGGAGGAAATTATATTTGATTGGATGAGGGAAAGAGAAACTAAAGATGATTCTGAAATTCAATTAATTTGCATTATAATCTGCCTGTCTGATTAGTTTCATTTAAATATATACTAGGAAGTTTTCTGTTTCTTAAAAAAGTGTAATAATCAACCACATATTAAAAATGATATTAAGAATCTGTGAGTTTGTGAATTAATGAATTCAAATTATCTCTAGCCTAGTTCAATAAGAGTAGCAAAACAGCAACGTCTCTTTAGAAACACAAGATAAGATTAGAGGACAGATGCTTGGATTCTTTTGATACATGAGATGAAATTGGCAGAACACAGGTACAGCTTTTATTTATCTCTTAAGGAAGCTATTCCTTCTGGTAGAACCCTAAGTTGAGAATATGATCCACCCACTCTAAAACAATCCTAGTAGGAGATTAAAAGGGGTTAATGTTGATGATTACCTGATATAATTATCCCATGCTATTTATAACTGACTATTTTAAAATTTATTATTATTTTTTAGGTCTCACTCTGTCACCCAGGCTGGAGAGCAGTGGTGCAATCATAGCTCACTGTAACCTGGAACTCCTGGGCTCAAGTGATCCTCCTACCTTGGCCTTCTGAGTAGCTGGAATTACAGGCAGATGCCACCATGCCCAGCTATTGAAACAAAAAATGTAGACATGGGATTTTGCTGTGTTACCCAGGCTGGTTTTGAACTCATGGCTTCAAGCAAACCTCTCACTTCAGCCTTCCAAAGCTCTTGGCTTGAAGGCATGAGTCATCATGCCCAGCCTTAACTGGTTAGATTTTGAATTCAATATATTTATATATTCATGAAAGGTCTATAAAGAAGATTGGCAAATAGGCAATTCATGACATATACTGTCCCTCTCTATGAACAGCTTTTAACAAAACTATTATGTAACATTGATTATTCTAACAAGTTAATTGATAAAGACATGACTGGCTGCATCTCTCAAAAAGTAATCATTTTAATTTCCCTAAATCATGAAATAAATAGAAATGTCATGTAGTAAAGGCAATACAGGTTTTATACTCTCTAGGAGTTCATTTCAGACATATTAGATGAGAAGGAAATGATGTTATTTCTATGCTGTTATATTAGTGAGTCAAAATAATTTTCTGACTTTTCATAAATGCATTGAATATGTTAATAGCTATTTTATAGAATTATCTTCTGTTCAAACCATTCAAGGTGGAATAATAGACACAAAAATTAAATATATTACATCACTGAAATTCCCTCTCTTACTCTGTTTTTAACACTGTTTTGGCTTGGCTTGGCTTTTCTTTCTTTCTTTTTCTCTTTCTTTCTTTCTTTTTGTTTTTTTACTCATTTAAATGAAGACATGTTTTGAGAACCCATTTGGTTGAAGTCTTAGTTACAGTATTGATTTTTTAAGTGGCTTGTATCATTCAGGTTAGTTGAACATACTGGGAAAGTTTCCAAACATTGGCAGAAACCCAAACTGAACTTTCTTCCAAAAAGTCATGAAGAATTTCATTAACCTTTTAACAGAAAAAAAAAAAAAAAAGAAGGTATATTTCTCATTTGTTCAATTCTAAGGCCATGTGCTCCCAGGAGAACAAAAAAAAAAGCCAGATCATAGCATGATGCTTTTTATTTACATCAGTGTTTGTATTTGAAAAAGTAAAATGTTAAGATTGTCTCTATAGTCAGTAACACAGACCTGGTGAGTTCCAACCCTTGTATGTTTTACATACATTGAATGCATGTAAAATTATATATGCCTACAATACCTTAGAATGATCATCAATGCTCATATTGTTGCTGAGTCAGTACAATCTTTCACAGGTCTTTCTCAATTGGTAAATTGAGAAAAAAAATTAAGTAGAAAGGAGAAAAGTAATACTTATGAATTTAAAATAATTTTAATTATTTTTTTTTGCAAAATTAACATGAATAATGATGAATTCTGATCATTGCCTATTATATTTGGGACAAATGACTTGATAAGACAAAAAGTACCAGAGAAGCAAAGTTAGAATTAAATACAGAGATGAATTCAGGTAAAATTTTATCATCAGTGTTACACAAGACTTAATTCATTAAATGAATTTTCTAGATGAAAATGAACTTACAACATATTCTTTTAAACTAAAAGTAGGATTAAACTAATCATAGAACTGCTTCAGGGATGTCAAAATTAAGGGCTATTTGGCCAATAATTGATAAACCTCAGTATTTTTCTAAACTCATGAAAACCTTAATACATTTAAATATTTAGATTTAGTCAAAACTTTATGCAGGACTGGAGGCAGAAAACGAAATAGTTCCTCTCACAATTTTGTCATAGATATTTCTTTCACAATTTTGAGTTTTGGGGTTTGATGTCAAAATAAAAGAATAGGGAAAATACTTTAGAGTAATAAGTAAAAAAGTAAAGAAAATGTAGGAAGAGAGGTAGATCTGAAAATACAGGTGAAATATTATTTGTTACTCTTATTTATTTATTTATGAGATGGAGTTTTGCTCTTGTTGCCCTGGCTGGAGTGCAATAGCTGATCTCGGCTCACGACAACCTCTGACTTCCTGGTTCAAGTGATTCTGCTACCTCAGCCTCCTGAGTAGATGGGATTACAGGCATGCACCACCATGCCGGGCTAATTTTGTGTTTTTAAGAGAAACAGAGTTTCTACTACCTAAAGTTTCACCGACCTTAGGTGATCCACCTGCCTCAGCCTCCCAAAGTGCTGGGATTACAGGCATGAACCACTGTGCCCAGATCATTAATCTTATTTTATAGAATAGGATTTATCTAATTAATGTATAATTTTATTCTTAAATTTAGAAAAATGAGAATTCAAAAATTCTACATTATACATTTAAATTGCTTATCTATGAACATCACAGCATGCTTCCAATTTTTAAATTTCTTTATAGAACTTAGAATAGTACATTTTAAAAATGTTGAATAAAGAGAAAATGGATTCTTTTTGATTCATGTGACTTTCATGTCAATTACTGTACTCAACTTCCTTGTTAGAACTTGCACATCAGCAGGTAGCATGGGTTTCTGCTACAGACCTTTCAATATATCTACTTAGAAGCTGCCCTTTGAACCTCATCTTCTTGCTATCACATCCGTAAAGTAATTCACAATACAAGTGGTTGCATTAACTATTCCAGGACTACGTAAAAATCCATTTTTATTGACATGCTATGTATCCATACATTTTCTCTGGAAAGTAAAGAGGAAGAGTTCATTGTCTCTACAAATAATATCAGCCAAATAATTAAAAGGATTGCTAGTAGCTATCCTACTTTTTGTGCTGCTGGGGTGACACTGTGAACCTCTGATGTTCTCTAGGTAGCTGTCCTGCTGCTCATTCCAAATTTGTCAGGTTATTTGGCACCTGATCTGACCTTAATGTCTACGATGAACTGCTGAGCTATGAAGTGTTCTGATTTTTTGGATGCTTTGCCAAATTCCTTCCCCAACCCCTGCCACCTTTAAAATAACAAGGTCAATCACACAAAAGAAAGATGGCAGAGTTTCAGTTCCAATGATGCTGATTATCAGCATAACACATATGGTTCAGCATAACATCCAACTTGTCCTTGAAGACTATAGCAACTCTAGCTGGAATTGGCTAAGATAAAGTAATTATGAATAAAAGTGCCCATTTTTCTAAAGATACTTTACCAACCATCCAAGAAAGTGCATTTTAAATTCTGTTTTCCAAACTATAATCACTTAATTAAAAAAAATCACTTTTAAAGAAAACAATGTTTACTCACATTGGCTATAGTCAAATGAAACCGACATCAGTCAAATAAATTGCAGAGTCTTACAATTTATTTGTTATGAATCAGTTTTAAAGATGGTAAAACAAGGAGCTATTTGTGGACAATGGTATATAATGCTCTATACCCTAAGGATTCCTTTCTTACTATTTTGACCAAGCAGAATCCAGAGAAGTGCTTTCTTATGAAATAATTTATACCTTCATCTTTTACTCATTACTTAAATACTACCTTTGTTTTATCTTTTCTAATTTCTTGATAGTTCTCAAGGTACAGGTTTTGTAATTTAGTCTTATATACACTCACTGAAAATACCCTCAATATTACCTGAACAGATCATGGTTTTACCTTAGACTTCACCCACTCTGGTATAGAGTAACAAGCAAGCAAAATGATACCACAAAGTTCTGATACCCTCTTCACCTGGGCAACATAGAGACATGTTATGACTTCTAATGCATACAGAAACAAGATTAGTACATAACACATACATAGCACTCAAAGAATAAAATTGGTATATTATATAAACATTCTACAGTAAATTATTCACATAGTAAGTAAATCTTCATTTGAGAACCCTTATAGGCAGCTAGTAGGGTACTAGTTGTTTTTTTATTCATCCAAGGAAAATTTTTATTACTGGCCAATCATGGGCATACTATTATACAACCTGAGTAGATATATTATAGAACTTCAAAGTAAAACAAATGTCAATAATCAGCTAACATTTTATATATGAGGAGAGTGATGTCCAGAGAGGTAAAGTAACATCCCAAAGTATCAACAGCTGGTTGAATAAAAGAGGACTAGAATATTGATGTTATTCTTTCCATAAAACTGTGGTTTATTATTGCTTGGAATAGGTAATATATACTTTTTATATCTATTTAGGAGATTATTGCTTTGATAATACAACAATATAAAAAATACTGTTGGCAATATATCTCCCTGTTTATAAGTTCTATCTATATATCGACCTATAGATCTATGTATCTCTCTGTACTTATCTATTGATTGATATAGGCCCAATAATATACCAACAGATCAGCAGATTTACAATTTATAGTTACCATTTCAAAGCCAAACTTTATTTTAATACTATTCATTTTTCCTTCTCCTTTTTAAAAATGTAACTCATGAAAAGGTTGAAATTTAAAACAAAAATAATGTCTCCCCCACCTAGTAGCAAATTTGTTCTATAATAGAGTAATTAAAATTATCAAGTTGTTCATTGGTCTTTTCTTCTCACTTTTTAAGTCACAGAATTTATTCAGCTGATGAAGTCTTCAGAAAGGCACCAATACAATACCAACGTGATTCAGCAAAATCATATGTAATTATTCAAACATGAAATGGTACCTTGAGTGAGGTAATTAATATTATACTCAATGATAGGGTATTTCAATTGCCTGAGATAACGGATTTTTAAAAAATGTGTTGAATCGTATATCCATTCTAATTAGCGCTAAGAAAAGTCAGAAGAAAGTCAGATGAAAAGCATACTAAGGATATTATGAAAACATCTACACAATTTTTTTCTAATTTTTCTAAACACTCTTTCCTTTGTGCTTCTATTTTGTCCACTTATTTTAACCTTTTATCTGTTACTGAAAGAATGTAATCTTCTTGAGCATATATACCCTTTTTTACCTTTTTATTCCCAGGCATAGTATGTGATTGACTTAGTGCTCTGTAAACCTATGCTATATAACTAAATGAATAAACTAAATAAATATATTAAGCATTTACATGTGATGTTAGATAACTTAAACTCTGTAGTTACTTTTAACAGACATCAGTGTTACATAAACTTTACTGAGCATATGAATTGCCTCAGATTTTTATCAAGAATACAGTTTCCCAGGACTCTTTCTTGAGAATATTGGGTCTTGATTGGGAACCTATAAGATTAAAACTGCCATAGGGAAGTTTTATAATCAGGTAGTTTGAAATCATCTAGAGAATTCCATATTTAGATTGAATCTTTCAAGAACATTAAAAAATACATTTAACTTAATCTTATATTGTTTATATTTTACATGGAATAACTAATTATTTATTCTCCTTGATTTTATGAGAAGATTTTTCACAGCAAATCTTTATTTAGTCCCTATTTGGAGGTTCTAGACATACAGAGGTTTAAACACATACTACATAGCTTTACAAAACTGATAGCACATAAAGAAACAAACATTCAAAAATAAATTATAAAAGAGCCCAGAAGTAGACCCACATAAATACAATGGATTGAAGTTTGACAAAGGAGCAAAGACAATACAATGGAGAAAAGATAGTTTTTTTATCAACTAGTGCTGGAACAATTGGAATCCACATGTTAAAATATAAATCTAGACTCAGACCTCACACACATCACAAAAGTTAACTTGAAATAGATCACAGACCTAAATGTAAAATGTGAAACTATGAAACTCCTAGAAGATAACATAGGAGAAAATCTAGGTGACCTAAGGTATGAAGATAACTTTTGAGATACAGCACTAAAGATATAAACTATGAATATAATAATTGATACGCTAAACTTCATTAAAATTAGAAACTGCTGCTCTGTGAAAGACAATGTCAAGAGATGCAGGAGATCAGTCAGGGTGGTGGGAGAAATTATAAGGAAAGATGCAAACCTTCTTGAAAGGCTGGGAGGTTTTGCAAAACTTCAAAACAGAATAATAGCTGAAGGCAGCTAAATCCTCTTATGCTGAGTTTGAGGGCACAGGGTAGATAACAAGGAATTTTAAAGGAATTTATATAGATAAATTTGTTTACTCATGTCTCAGGAAACCAGCCTCTGATTATCCCCTCACAGAACTGCTCTCTACATGGGGGCTGGCAATGTTAACTACCCACAAATTGTTTTTATGCCAGGCCTTTGTCATCAAATCTGTACTAAATAAATAAAAACAGCTCTAGCTTATCGGGGCTGCACTCTCACTGGTGGTGCTAAGCCCTGCAGTCCCCTAGCCATGCTCTCAGGCAAAATACCTGTGTCTGTGTACTTTCATCACCTGTCACTCAGCCAGATTCTGTAAGACAGACTGTGAAGAGAATGAGAAGCCACAGACCAGAAGAAAACACTTACAAAAGAAATATCTGCTAAAGGACTATTTATAAAATATACAAAGAACTCTTGAAACTCAACAATAAGAAAATGAACAACTTGATTCAAAAATGGGCAAAGGATCTAAACAGACAGAAGATGGAAAACAGCATATGAAAAAATGTTCAACATCATGTACCATCAGGGAACTGCAAATTAAAACAATAATAAGTTGCCACTAAACACCTATTAGAATGGCTAAAATCCAGAACACTGACAACACTAAATGCAGACAGGAATGTGGGGCAACAGGAGCTCTCATTCATTGTTGGTGAGAATGCAAAATGATACAGTCACTTTGGAAGATAGTTTGCCATATTTTTTCAAAATGAAACAAATTCATACCATATACTTCAACATTTTTGCTTCTTGAAGGCTACACAAATAGTTGAAAACTTATATGCACACAAAAGCTTGAACAAAAATGTTTATAGCAACTTTATTTATAATTGCCAAAATGTAGAAGGAATCAAAATAATCCTTCAAAGGTAACTGGATAAGTAAATCAAGGTATATATAGACATTGCAATCCTTTCCAGTGCTAAAAAGATGCAGGTATCAAATAATTGAAAGACATGGAAGAAACTTAAGTGCATGTTACTAAATGGGGGAAGCAAATCTGAAAAGACTATATACTGTATGATTCCAACTATATGACATTCTATGAAAAGCAAAACTATGAGGACAGTGAAAAGATCACTGGTTTCCAGGAGTTAAAGGGAAGGGAGGAATAAGTAGGTAGAGCACAGAGGATTTCAGGCCGTGAAACTACACCATGATACCACAGAACATAATATCACTTTACATCTGTCAACATCTATGCAATGTACAGTAGAGGTCCCCAACCCCCAGGCAGTAGACCAGTACTCCTCTGTGACCTATTAGGAAGTGGGCCACAGCAGATGAGCTGTGGGCCAGCCAGCATTACTGCCTGAGCTCCACCTCCAGATCAGCTGCTGCATTAGATTCTCATAGGAGCACAAACCCTTTTGTTAACTGCATATGTAAGGGATCTAGGCTGCATGCTCCTTATGAAAATCCAATAATAAATATAATGCATTTGAATAATCCTGAAACCATTCTCCTCCACCCCTGGTCCATGGAAACACTGTCTTCCAAGAAACAAAATTTCATAATTATGGTTAATTATGCTATATCAACATAATTTCATTGATTATAAAAAATGCATCATCCTGGTGCAGGATATTGATACTAGGGAAGGCTGGTGGGAGTCAGGAGGTCAGAAAGTAGAATTAAGAACTCATTGATTTGATGGATCAATGGAGATAAAGCTCAGTTTTGCTGTAAACCAAAACTGCTCTCAAATTCTATTAACAAATAAATTACAATACTATGTGGAAAGATTTGACATATTTTGAATGTTCAAAGGTAATCCACAATTAAGTAGCTGGGTAAAACTGTAATCAGGGTCTCAGATAAGAGAGTAGGACTCTAGGACTCTGTAATTTGTTGTACTTGTAAATCTTCACTCACACTTTACATTACAGAGCAACACCAACAACAACCAAATGCTACTTTTCTAATATTTCTTGTGACATTGGTAATAATAGATGATGAAAATCAAACGGTAAGCACAACTTCCTTTTGTGCTTGATATGATGGATCAATGGAGATTAAGATAAACATTATACTAGATTCAGAAAGAAGGCAGGTCTCAGAAAATTTGTTAGCAGTCTTGTTTTCCTAAGCTTATCTCTGTCCCCTTATTGGTCAGTTATTATAAAAGCAAATTGTACTCACTCTCTTAATGTTGGGTAAGCAATGGACAGGATGTAAGAAAACAATTTTCTTGATGGAAAAGCTGATGCTTATAACAGAATTCTTCTGGGGAGTGGCTTATGAAATTTTTAGAAGCAGGGTTTTAAGAGTAAACATGATGAACAAGGTAAGGTAAATGTCTATCAGTCTTCAAGCAAGGTTGCCTAGAGTGGAGGGGGAAGGGCAGAAGCTGTAATTATTTTCTGTTAGAAACAAGTTTTTAATTTTTTTTTTTTTAAATAGGGTCTCACTCTGTCACTCAGGCTGGAGTGCAGTGGCACAATCACTGCAGTCTCTACCTCTGGACTCAATGCTCTCATCACAGCCTCCCAAGTAGCTGAGGCTCCAGGTGTATGCCACCACACTCAGCTAATTTTATTTACTTTTTTAGAGATGAAGTCTCATTATTTTGCTGGAGGCTGGTCTTGAACTCCTGAGCTCAAGTGATCCTCCTGCCTCAGCCTTCCAATGTGTTAGAATTACAGGTGTGAGCCACTGCACGCAGCCTGAACCAGTGTTGCATAAGGATGTAAATATATTATTGCCTTAATTTGCACAACCAATCTATAAGATAAGCATATCTCCATTTATACATGAGAATCATAATGTCCAAAGATCACACTTCATAAGAGACTAAGCCAGATCTCTAAGTGCTATTTTTTTTCAAATTTACTATGATAATGACTCTTAATATGCCTGTGGGTCTTTTGAAAAGCAAGATTTACAGTTTGCTAATATTTTAAATCCCCAATGCATTTTTACCCCTCCACTTGCTATAGTAGTCATTTCTAAAAGGGAAAAAGGAAGGAGGGGTACAAAGAAGATGGTGAGAAACCACCAAATCAAAATACAGTAAGCTACTTGAAGTTCTACCATCTCCATATTGCTCTACTTAAACATTGCTTCCCACCCAACCCCCAACCCCCAGATGAAGTTTCACTCTTGTTGCCTAGGCTGGAGTACAATGGAGCGACCTCGGCTCACTGAAACCTCCACCTCCCAGATTCAAGTGATTCTCCTGCCTCAGCCACCAGAATAGTTGGGATTACAGGTGTGTGTCACCACACATGGCTAATTTTGTATTTTTAGTAGAGATGGGGTTTCTTCATGTTGGTCAGGCTGGTCTCGAACTCCTGACTTCAGGTGATCCACCCACCTTGGCCTACCAAAGTGCCGCATTACAGGTGTGAGCCACTGTGCCCAGCAAACATTACTTTTTAATAAAGAACTTTCTCTGATCCCCCTATACTAAATTAGTCGCCTGCAGTTCTTTATAACAC